AGAAAAACTAGATTGATACCACAAGAACGCAAAATTCGAGTCTATATAAATTAGATAACTTACAGGGTGATATATCACGATATCGATTTTTGGGAATGTTTTCGTGTGCTTTGGCATCCACCATCGTAGCATTTGGATTTCCTCGTTCAAGTTTCTGTAAAAAAACAGAAACGGTCTTAAAGTAACAGGTAGTTCGTTTCGTAAGTAATAATATTAATTTTATGGCAATATTTACTAGGTGAGAGCTGTGCCTTACAGTACTGTGAGCCATTACTTTACTTCCCATAAAATCATTTGCCAATGCAAATTTAACCTTCAGTGCATTGTCTAATACCCCATATTCAAAAATTCGTGCACCCTGGGGAACGTACACTCAAACGGCAAAGAAGTCTATAAACCGACAGTTCCCTTTTGACTTCAAACTACGATTACTCGGCGCTGTGTCACATTTGACCCCTTCCACAGTGCTCACCTCACCTTTTTTCTACCTTTGTGCCTCTGTCACTTTGATGTTCCTTCCCCTCTGTGAAGCCCAAAGTCGGCTAAAGGGCTTATGATAATTATCAAAACGCCTGCCATTTGAAATAAAAAACATTAAAAGCTTCTAGCTAATTCTACAATTCCTCTATTATTCGAATATCTTTATTAAAAATACACTACTAAGTGTAAAATGTTTAGGTATAGTTGTAATGCATAAAGAAACCAGAGCCAAAAACAAAATAGTTCACTTCTTCGCCAATGACGTCATCTACGTATAGGTATTGACTTAAGGAAAATATAACCCAAAACAGCCGATTAGGTTCATTGAAAAACAGTCATTATGGCACATTCGTAAAGCAATATAACCCCTATAACAATATATTGCAGTGGCTCCCGTTTAAGTAGAATCATCCTAAAAGTAACAACCAGATAGTCTTCGTTGAATTGTTAAAAACTAGTCAAAAGAGAGACAAGCGGAATAAAATTCTCGAAAAATATGGAAACTAATCCCAATTAATCTTTGTGTAATTAGTGCACTATCTAGCATTCCTTCAACGTTAAAATTTGATGGACAATTAATCGTACATAAATATTAAAATACGATAACAACCTAACAAACAACCGTAAGAATAACTATCGTTTGACATAGTTAATAAAATGAACATGCCTCAAATTGCTTAACCAGAGATCCATCAGCAAGTCCAGCCTCAATTTCTCTGATTGAATGAAAGAGCGCTTCTGTGTCCGATATTAGAGCTTTCCTGGGACCATTTCCAGAAGGGGATTTTACTTTAACTACTGTTGAACTTCCAAACCGCGGTTTGGGAGTTACTTTAGGAGGTGAGTTTTGAGAAACCATTTGATATTGGGTTTGAACTGGCGTAGGTTGGGGGGCAGATCGTTGGTTGGGATGACGATTATTAGTAGTTGGGGAGGACTCTGATCGCTTTGGGGCAGGTGGATGCAGCATTGACGATATAGGTGAGGAATCACGATTCGTTGAGCCTAACGACTTGGGAGGTCGAGGTGGAGCATCTCCAGTGTCTTGCAACTGATCATCCAACACATTTTCCTCCAGATATACTAAAAATGAAAAATAATCATAATAAAAGTCAAAATTAAGAGTTAGTATAAACGACTGACGAGAAGTGACACAAATTTTATCTGGTTTGGTTTCAATAAGCTATAACTGGTACCTATTAAGGTATTTTACCTTCATCGTCTCTTTCTTTTGGTCTTTTTCTTTTACTTGGTCCACAGGCATCTCGCATTTCGCTCGAACTTTTCTTTTTAAAAATCATCATCTTGCGCGACACACGAATCCCAATATGCAGATTAACTGTGCAAATTAGGCGCGATGGACTAGCATTATTTATAAATGTTGAAATAAACGATTTTTAAGAATACAATTATATTGAATTTATTGAATTATATTTGTGTGCATTGAAATATCCCATACATAAAACATATATAGAGCACATGATTGTCAATTTTGATTATTTTCTCGTTTCAATTGAGAGCAAGGCCCAACTTTATGCAAAATTAAACATGATAGGTATCATATAAAAATGACCCTGTTTGATTGCAATGGTAATCGCCACTTATTTAATGCGTTTATGTGATTTAGGAAAAAAAACTTTAAAAATAACACTCCTTCCAATATTTTAACCGAGATTAGCTTGAACTCATATCTGGTAAAGTTGCTAAGATTTTTTTAATAAAAAAGGTACAGCTAATTGATACATAAGTAAGCCATGATTAAACCTCGGCAGTCTCTTTAACAAAATCCCCGCTATGGAATGAGTCTCGAAATTGACTAAGCTACCGCAGAAGTATGAGGGAAACAACGTATGGCTTAGAATGTGTTTATTGAGGCTTTGATGATTATAATTTGATTAAGATGTTACTGTCATAGAGATTAGTCATTAAATGCGGTTTGGATACGATGATCCTGTAATGGCTATTGATTGTTGATACACGGAGAGATTTCTGCATTCATGACCTCATTTGCTTCCAAACGCGATTGACATCACGCCCCTCCCCACATTTAGAAAGTTTGAGTGAGCATAAAATTGCTTATCTCAACTGTGTTAGGGATTTTCACTCCGAAATACTCCCCACTAGAACATCTTAGGATGTTAAAAAGTTGGGAAAAGTGGACACTGAATAACTGATGACTGCACATATTTGACAAGTCGAGAATGGAGGATAATTATTCTAGCCATGTGACTGTAAGAAATTTGGCATTGATAAATGGAAGATGGTGTAATGGCATGGACTACAGAAATTGAACGGTAAGATTGTCGAACAAGGTAGTGCCCATGAGACTGACCGGTAAATGAAAATTTGTAAAGAAAATCAACACCAATAATAGGTTTTGGACAGCAGAAATAAAGAAAACAAATAGACACTTTTGTCGAAGTCCTGAATCTAGGTTGAGGAATGTTCGGTCATAAGTTTTGAACTTGGTATGCTTACCACTTGAAGTATTAGACCGGCATTTTTGAGAGAAAGTTTTTCTTTAGATCTAGGGATGATGCAGACTTTAGAATCAGTTTCAACATGAAAGTTAAGTTTGGAGTTTCTGTCATTTACATGGATGGGGGATCAGTGAAATGGCTAGGAACGGTCAACGCCCTCACTGCTTAGCGTTGAATTTTAGCCAAGAGTTAGATATTTCGTGTTTGAGGTATTTACCTCTTGATAGTCATTTCTCGGCACCGTCTCAACTCGTTCTATAGTAGTAACAGCATTGATTTCGGTGTTTAGGCAAAATATGGAATCATTTGGGAGAAGTAGAATGTTGTCTATCTCGATTAGAGAAGATATTCGGTACGAGTAGTTCCAGTTCTACTAACGCCTTAGTGAAGAGGTCAGGTTGCTGTGAGGTGGTGACAACGGACGTTGAAATTTTCATTTCATTAATACCAGACCTAGTGTGAAGTTCCTTTGTTTAGTTCACCTTAGTTGTCTTGAAGAGTCATAGTGGTTAGACATGCAGCTATGTTTCCAAAGAGGCACTTCATCCACAACTCTTCAGAGCTGTTTCAGACAAGTCATTTTCATGAGCTTAGAATCGAATGCGACGCAGAAGTTGAGAAGGAGTACTATCCTCTAGCTCAAGTTGCGAAAACTGTTGATGTAATCGTTGCTGTTGCGAAACTTTTAAGCTACTGATGACATTTACTTTGAGTGCGTCATAGCAGGTGCCTTGTCAACGATATCAGGAACTTGTGCTTTAGCATTAGTTGGGAGAGCAGAATAGGCAAGTTAGAACATCATTCTTAACTTGGTAATGCCCCATAGTTTGAGAATATTTTTCATTTTTAACAACCATTTATACATGACCTTGTTGGGTCAAAATGCAATAGAGGAGTGGAAAATGGGCACACACAAAAATCTGTTTCCTTAGATATCATGAGACAGTGCGAGAGGAGGAAGAGAGCGAATAGAGGAGATGGTGAAAGTTCTTAGAAGAAGAAAGAGGTTCACCAACTATGATGTTCGAAAAAACTCACTTTAGTGGGGAGAGATTGGTTCTCGGAAGTGCAGATCACGACACAAAGGTCTCATTTTTATTTGCGAATGCAACTCAACTGAGGATTATCTTCGACTGTTTTTATTAAATGTAACATATTTGATTACACCTTTTCTAAGGTAGAAATTTTATAATATATTTGTTTCATTGAATTGGAATAAAACTCACGCTTCTATCAATGTTAGTTTAAGTAGTTTTGAACGATCAAGTTGTTATCTAATTAGAGAATAAATAGGTACTCTAAAGACATACTCTCTCGTCATCGTATTTACTTCAATACTTGCTGACTCTCTGATAATTAATTGGATGTCTAACATTAGTTATTGAGTAGTAAGGCTTAAGCACCCGACAATGGTGAAAACATGAGACTCAGTAAAGTTTATTGCACAACAGATTTCACAGAGTGTCATCTATTTTTTTAAAATCCAAAATAACAAAAGAATTATAATTGATACATTGTGAAAGAAAAATCCGTTTTTATATCGCCTAGTAATAATAGATCACTAAACAAAGTAGAGACATAGCAACATAATTTAAGCATTCTGTCACATGCACCTTAACTAAAAATTGTCAGTTATTTCATTTATTTTTCTCCAAATGATGTAAATAAATAAATAAATCTTCAAGTGATCCTAGAAACGTATAAAAACGCTCTAAATTGTGTAAAGTATATTATTTATGAACTTACAGCTCTAAATTCAAATCGTTAAATGGCAGCTAATCTCAACAACAAGATTCCAAGCAAGGAAATTAGGAGTAAACAAATTGTGGAGATCAATTCTTAATTTTTTTGAACAATAAACCTGGATCTGTTATGGTCATCTTCGATCAGTTTTAGCAAAGCAAATGATGTGACTTTTTCCCTCGGCAAGTATAATGTCAGCTTCCAAAGTAGAAGCCGCTTTTCCCAGTATTAAAAAGCTACAAGCACTGTACAGTAGTTACCATAAATAATCATAGCCTATTATTAATACCGTCCATCAATTATTTTTATTAGCAAATGCTCGGCTTAATATAGTTACAGTTTTGGCCTCTTAAGTGTGAAGGTATACGAAATTACGGATTGCATATTAGCCTGATGAAAGATAAATGATCGAATCTGTGGGACACGTCATCGCACACCTGCACGCCAGGATTGGGAGGTGCGACCGTACAAACAGTGACCAATCATTAGCCTCTGTTTGTTTAACTTAATCCCCCATCCTGATCATGAGTCGCTCCCTGCGCATACGCACTTGATCCACAATATACGTCCTGAATAAACGCGCTCCATGCTACACGTCTGTTTCCCTCATAGCTGGGCTATAGCTTATCTGGTTCTGGGAGTCTAGCTAGATGTTGGAGAATCTGCCATAGAGATTTCTGAGTCGGTTAGGCTTTACTAAGGTAGCAAACAGCTACAAATCCTAGGGAAAATGGCGAAATTCGATATTTGGATAGGTGAAATGCGGTGATTGATTTCTAT